CCCAGTCCAAATTCTCTTACATATAAAAGCACCCCAGTATATTTACCTTGTAAAGGTAGATAATTAACACAAAGATAAAAATATTTTAGTTCTTCATGTTAAGCTCATATGAGTTACGACCTCATTTTCTCCCAAAATTAATGGGGATCAGCTAAAGAGGACTGCCAATTGCTTAGGTTATTAATTTTGCCGTAAAACTCTATTATGGAGTTTACTTATTTGTCTACCTATAAACTACCCCATACCATTTTTAAAGATTATTATCATGTTCAATGTATGTATAAAATTGATGAACATTCCATACCATCATTACGGTTACCTACTTTCTAACCCTTTTTATCCGTCTGTCTATCACTGAGCTTTATGTAGTCAAAGGGGTGAATATATTTCAATCATAATTTCCTTGGAATAAAATTACTTTTGAAAAGAGCAAGAACAAACATTCTGCTAGAATGTTTGTTCTTGCTCTTTTCAAAATGATAAAGGGAACTATGTGTATGAAAATTACTTTTCATTCAGGTCAAAAATTTCATGACACAAGTGAATTCACGCTCAGTGTATACATACATGCGTTTTGATTATGTATGTATATATGTTTGACAGGTTGACTTAGTCAGAAGTCATGTACGTGATCCTGAAGTTATCAATTTCCATACAAATTAAAAGCTAAAAGAAATTTATATGTTCGGTAACGCGTTACAGTTTGAACTAATCAATTTTAACTGCACCGATCGAAAATGATTTACGTCTCATTGAAATCCGAAGAACCACTTTTAAAAGGCACAAGTTCCTTTTTAAAGAGAGTGAAGGTGGTGTGTGGTTATTGGGCTGTAATTTTGTAGCGTATATGACACTCGGTTTATTTTGCTAGTTAATTTCAAGTTAAAACATTATTCAAAATTACTAAACGTATTTCATTTACTTGTAAAATGAACAGAAAGTATCAGATGCATTACAATATAACAGCCGTATAACCCAACACGAGATAGAACAACTTTACTTTTGAACAACAAGGTTATCAAGTGTTTTAGGTGCTAAAATGTTGGTCTATTCGGAAAGACTGCCCATAAGACAGTGCTTAGCCTTTAGGAACAAAATTTTACATGGCGAACCTAGTAGTCATAGGGTACTAACAAGTCGGGAGTGACTTCAACATCTGATGACTGTCAAAAAATGTCCCAACTCACCCGACTCTCCTCAAAAAGAAGCTTGATATTAGTGCAACCAATTGTGAGGTCAATTGCATGTTAATTAGTAACCCACTAATTACTCCACAACACTAAGTAAAAGATTCTAAGGAATTATTCAAGTTGTTCGTTAAATTAATAGCATCAACTAAATTGTCTTGTCCTCGTTGGTAGGCGATTTATCCAACGACCTGGAGGTCCAGAAGGAACTCTGACTTTTGATAGGTTACAACCCATCAATCCCAGACAACTCACCTCCAGGCATTTCCAGTGATTTAATATAAGCTCTGATCAGAGAACTAAGCATATCCGGTTGTTCGAGAGTGTAATATCATTCTGCTATGAAACAATTGTGGTGCTCACCTTCAAAATGGTCAACCTAAAATATAGTATATTTACTTGGGTATAAGTTTACTTTTAACGGAATCGAAAATATTAGTTCTTGTTGTAATCCTCAAACTAAGAAGAACTTGTAAAAGACTGACTCGTGAGTAGTAAGTTGGTTGTTATTCACGAAGATAGAGTACCGATAATGTCTTTACTATTCACGAAGTACTTGAATACCACTACATTTATTGTAGATTGATGGTTATTTTGCTTCTTGACATCAGCGTTTCTTTCGATTCACTGGGATTGTATGTTAAAAAAGCCTATGAATGAGGAATCTGTTAGCATTTTGAGGGCTTTTTACGAAAATAATTCAGGTAAAGTGAGAATATACGGCCACTGCTTTCTATCGAGTCATGGCGCTAGACTATACTGAGTAACTTCACTATCCCTCTACAGTTTTGTCATCGACAATGTACTGGAGTAAGTTCTGAAAGAATTACGTAATGAGAAAAACTTTTTGGCCTTTTCCGATTATGACATCGTCGTATTGTGAGATAATATGAGGACTACCCAAATCGTACTTAGTAAATAGTTTAACTAGCACCATCGAACCAGAAAGTGATCCTGCAAGACTGATAGACGTCTGTGTCTATACTCACTCTTTGTGATGACCCATTGTAAATAGTCGGGAAGTTGGTGTATCTGTGGATCTGTATGAATAAAGGGGATGGAGTAACATGTACGATTATTCTATGTTTAGTGAAAGCCAGATCAGATAGCATCACTCTGGGTAATTTTTTCCCCGTAACACCATTAATCTGTATTCAAAGTTTCTGAGGTACGAAGTGCCACTTCTATGCTTAATGCTTTTGAAATCTGGCTCCTCCGTGCCAATAGTGTTTCGCGACTTTCTATATTTAATTGTTATTGTATCAGAAAGATTTCTCACATCCTGTGACAACTGCGTATGTTTAGTGTGTTGTCTTGTATCCAAACAAATGTGATTACCATATCACTATTTACTCAGATACTGAAGGAATACCATTAAGTGAGTGTGAGTTTGCCTGCTTTCAACGAATACTTGAAATCATTTAAAAGAGATTGCATCATCAATAGAATATTTTAGACCTCTGTCAAAGACTTACCTTTCATTAGGATAGTAACATGTATCGTTTTACAGTGATTTTAAAATAATGAAGTATGTATATTCTGATTGTAGCTACGTTTATTCATGTTTGCGGTGATTTTCCTACAAATTTAACATACAAAATATGTGTGGCCGCCGCGTAGTACACTACTGAATGAGATTTTAGTGTATGATGTGGTATTACATGGCCACTATATTTTACAATCAAATAAAGTTCGTCTAAACGCTTATATTTTATGGTTGAACTCAAGAGTCGATGTAAGCTAGACCACCGTAGAAAACCTAGAAGAATTGGATGGCCATTTCATTCTAGTATAGGACCCCTCAATACTAATAATGCTGTTATTAAATAATATTATTTATTACAAAATAAAAGATAATCGAATGAATCTAAATGTACAATAAAAATAATCAATAATAATAATAATAATAATAATAATATGTTAGTTAATAGCACACAGTTTACATATTTGTCAACATTTTTTTTTCATAGTACATACAAATAATTTTAAGGATAATTTAATACGTTTAACGTTTATTCTGTTTACTCCAATTTATGTTTCAATATTGAAATTGTATATTAAAGTGAATAGTGAAGAAAAGAAGTTAAATGAATACATAATTTAGATAATCATTTCGATACTACTGATAGTACTATAATTAAATCGAGTTTCTAATGGATTTTGAAAGACTTTATATTTACATTGAACATTTGAATAATACTTCACAACCAAAGGTATTTGTTTACTTCAATCCATCTAAATAGAATATATAAATAATGAGAAATTTCATATTAAAACATTTAAACATTTACGTATAACAAACTTTAAAAGACTTTGTTTTAATCAAATTCTAACGAAATGAAATTATAGAATGTTCAACCTATTGGTAATTGAACTAGGTAGTGACAAATCATTTATGCATTGAAAGAAATACTTTTTAAAAATAAGGTCAATAGTTTATAAGAAGTTTAGAATATAGTTAGATAATAGGTGATTTTCATTGGCTTTCAGTTTATATCTGTGAACTGACAACTGATTATATTTGAATTCATGGGTTGATGTAAACTAGATCACCATTGAAAACCTGGAAGCACTGGACGGCCGTTTCGTCCTAATATGGGACTCCTCAACAGTGCGCATCCACGATCTCTCATGTGGGACTCGAACCCAGAACCTTCGGTTTCGTGTGTGAACGCTTAACCTCTACACCACTGAGCCGGCATCAAACGGTGTTAATCTTTAACGAGTCCGCATTTCGGTCATTCAATACGGCTGATGAATATGCTGTAAGAAAATAACTGAACAAATTTTATCATCACTACAACAAACTTATTCTCTTAAATTTCTAAGGTTCATTTACCGGTCTTTTACTATTTTATAGCGTATAAAATTTAAAAATAATTCAAACTTAGCACCCTTTGAACTAGTGCTAAAGATCAAAATTGTATATATTGTAAATTTACATGAATGAGCAGGCTTACAATAGGTAAATGCCAAAAATATTACCATTTATCTTCCAATTTTTAAAAAAAAATGCAATGGATGTATATCTCATTTTTTATATGATTCTCACATGTCCTTGGACAACAGAGAGTGAAAAACGGTTATTTATCATACTATTAGTGTCTCAAGTTTGTTTATTTACAGGGTAATCTGTCGTGGATGAAAAATAGCTATAATGTTGTTACTTATAGGTAGTATCAGTAGTCAGATTAATGTTTCACTCATTTCAAATCATCGATATTTCATCTTGCTCTGATTCAAATTACACTGAATTTCTTGTAAAAAGTGCTTACTTGATGATGAAATATGTCAATCATATGAAAGACTCTACTTAATGTCTTGAATGTGTATATATTGTATTTTAGCTAGTTCAAGAAACCTTCCACATCTAAATATACGCCGTACAAAATTAAACAATATGCTGTATAAAAACTAATCATCACTTATTTTTCATTAATTTAACAGTGGGAAACAATATTCAGTATTGAATAAAAGTTCACTATGGTTAAGACATTTCAGGATTATTCGGAATTCTATAATTCAATTTTTAAGACGTCTTGTTAATACCTCCACTTTAATTAACCTGCATAAATTAGCTCTACTTTTTCTTATTAATGGTAAATAATTTTAGATCTTTTTGATATTCCAGTAGCCTATTTATTAAGCCCATAACTTTTGGTAGTAATTCTGAGTTAATATATAAAAATATTGGTTTACAAGATTACTGTGAGTATAAATGACACTAAAATAAAATCAATAAAATTTAACTCAAATAAGCTCACCTAGTTTTGGTATCTTAAGAATATTTCAAGGAAAAAATTGTGGTCATTTTTATTGTGAATAGGATTTTTCCACTTGTTTATGCCATCTTGATAGAATCTCTGTAAAAGAAAAATAGAAACATTTTAGTTAAGTCTTCTGTCATATTATCTATAGAAAAAAAGATCGATTTCTTCGAAATGTTATTACCGCGTAAGATTCGTTTTCAGCTGATTCCCGATCATGGGAAAGACTTGTGTATCAAACAGTTCTACATAACTGGAGTCAATCAATTTACCTTTTACTGACAAGTTTCAATTTCGGTTTTACTAGTCTCTAAGGTAAGTTTACTGAGATTGTAACTTGAATATGGTCAATACATAAAATTATTTTAGATATTAATTTACAACCATTTTAAACTAAAAGGAACTTGCGTCATTCTCAGATAATAGCTGTTGAATGATAAACTTTGCCTAGAAGAAATCTTTTTAATAGTCGACTATCAGTTCTATGGTATAAACTTACTTAATATTGTCATTTGACGATATTTTCTGCTGAATGAACTGGATTTGCTTCGTTTTATGGATTCTTTTCGACAGATTTCGGGTGTTAAATAGGGTTTGGTTTTCCCACATTTACTGACATCAGGATTATTCAATAAATTTCTTGTCCTGTTTAACGGGATTTGATTTAGTAAAGTGTTTTTAGTCAGTGTGATTTCATTTATTTGCATTAACGAATTATGCTTAGGACGCGGATTATTGGAGGATGCGTTCTTTATATATCCCACTGGTACATTCCATGAGTTAAGTGAATTTAGTAAACCCTTCTTCTCTATCTTATTATTCTTCAGTTCGAATTGTAGGCTACGATTGCCATCAGTTATCGAATAACTGGGTGTTTTTAAATAGTCAAAATTTTCAGGCCGAGTTATTGATATATGACGATTTAAATTATTTAGTTTGTTGCGATAAAACGATGGTATATATTGACTATTTGCGTCAATATATTTCCAATGCCAAGTATCTTTCGGTCGGATTTTTTCATAATCACTCTGTTTGACAGTAAATGCTGACGTAGAGGAACATTCAAATGGACATGCAAGTACATTACTGGATCGTGTTGAATTTCTTGAAAAATTTTTTAATGTATTATTTGATGCCAAATATTCACTGTCAAAGTCATAAATTTCTTGTAGTTTTTTAGTTGATAATGTTATTAAATTCTCAGCTTCTTCTTGTCTCATTCTAGTCAGAAGTGCTTTATCCATAGAGCAGTCATTGCAACATGAGAATAATTGTCTTGCTGGAGAATTGACTTCTGAATACACTGACATCTAGAACTTACAAGATGAAAGTAAATTATTGAGTGTCATATTTATATTTAATAATCTAAATTAAAAGATAGAACTTACGTCACCGGGTCAGGAAATATGTTAACCTCTGACCAATCAAAATGGAGTAGATTAATTCGTAATAAAAAAGTGCGTTTATTTTATTGGTCACATAGATCAATATTTTGCTTATATTTTTTTGGTGAGACTTTTTTTAGCAGTAGCCGGGGTTGAAAATACTCCTCCCACCACCTCAAAAATGCTGTAGACTAAAATGAAATTCCAAGTTTGTCTTTTATAATGTTTTAATAATTTTAGTAACTTTCACTGTCAAACCTTAAGTGACTTCAGTTTGGTCCTGAATTTATTAATTAGTTAATTCATAATAACAATTAGCAAAGATTACTAGACACTATGTCTTCTTCAACACGGAGAACAGCAATCCAATCACTCTTGATGGCGAAACTCTGGAAGAGGTAGAATTCTTCACATACCTGGGAAGCATCATCGATGAACAAGGAGGTACAGATGCAGACGTAAAGGCGAGGATTGGCAAAGCAAGGGCCGCACTCCTTCAATTAAAGAACATATGGAACTCAAAACAACTTTCAACCAATATCAAAGTCAAGATCTTCAATACGAACGTCAAGGCAGTTCTACGGAGCTGAAACTTAGAGAACTACAACAACCACCATCAAGAAGGTACAAGTATTTATCAATAGCTGTCTGCGCAAGATACTCAACATCCATTGGTCGGATACCATCAGCAACAGCCTTTTGTGGGAAAGAACAAATCAACTTCCAGCTGAAGAGGAAATTAGGAAAAGACGGTGGAAATGGATAGAACATACATTACGCAAATCATCAAACTGCATCATGAGGCAAGCCTTAACTTGGAATCTTGAAGGTAAGCGGAAAAGAGGAAGGCCAAAGAAAACATTACGTCGGGAAATAGAAGCGGATATGAAAAGGCTGAATAAGAAGTGGAAAGGATTGCCCAGGACAGGGTTGGATGGAGAATGCTGGTGAGCGGCCTATGCTCTTTCACGAGGAGTAACAGGCATAAGTAAGTAAGTATGTCTTCTTCAGAATTAAATTTTAGTCGAAACTGAGCAAGAAACTGGTGAGCATTAGATATCTTCATTAATATTACCATTAGCGATAGAATTACAAGAAATAAGCATAGGAAGTAAAACTACAATTTGGATCATAGTCTCACGAGAATTACCAACATCACTAATATAGCATAGATGGATGCTAACTTGCAAGCAACTTAAGTCCAAGGCTTCTTTTTAAATAAATCAAGCTATCTAATACCAAATGATGGTCACTATAGCATCAAATTATTTAACCGAGCACACGCATTACAACTTTATCGATGGAACTCGATAAGCGATAATGATTAGACATGATAACATTAATTACTACCAAGGAATTATTTAGTGTGTATAGGTACCATTTTTTAATGATTTTAACTTCACAAAATGATCAGAAGCATTTTACTCAGCATGAAAAATTTATGATCATTTGTCTACCTTTCACCGCTTGAAATATCATAATTTTTGGATATAATTTGTTCATTTAATATACTTTGGCAATAATGAGTACCAATTAAAATTAATTATGCAGTTATAAAGTTTTTTTTGAGATTTCATTCATCCGAAGATGGTTTTTGTAACACACACACACACACACACACGCCAACAAGAGAAAAAAACCGAAATTGTTGCTTCACCAAAACTCAACCACTGAGTTATGCATAATAGAACTTATCCTCATTATTAAATGATAATCGGTATAGATGCCTACATGAAAAATTTAAGGAATTAAATTTCAAATCAGAGATAAAATGACATGAAACTTGAAGTTTTTGAATATAATTCAACGAGTGATTGTTACTGGACATAAATTAACAAAAAGATGTCTGTTAAATGTACTCCGGCTCCAAATAATTTCACGGTTGATGTAAGTATATTGTCAAACTACTTATTAACTTAATAATAACTAAAAAAATAATTGAACTCTTCTAAACTGTTTTAAGTAAATTTAATTATCAAATAACTGTGGCTTTAAAATCATGTATTCAGATATAATCAAAATGTCAGTACCATTTTTGAATATTGACAGGCAATTAACCAAGAATATTGACATTTCAATTCAATGTGTAGATCATCAACGTTGATCTTTGTCGAATGATTGGGGGCCTACTCCAGTTAAACGGGAGTGATGTGACCAACAGCTGACGTCGAAATCACACCTCGCGGTCAGCATCTAACGTTCATTACCCCTTCTTCCTATCAAAGTACTATGGATGCTTTGAAGACCGTACAACACCAAGAACGCCATTACGGAAATATATTAGTAAGAATGAGTACAGAGAAGATAGTGGGACCACTACCGCATGGGCCAGTTCATGGCATACGATCAACTGATGCGCATTGGTTGTCCTTGACTTTGACGGGGATCGATGATCTATTCGATATTTATTGACTCAACTGCCGGATGATTTGGCTAGGGCTCAATGACATTTCACTGATCCTATAAATGCATTAAAAGTTATTATACACCATAAAGAAGTGTTTATCATTGTAATTAGATGTCATTCACTGATGGACATGAAATAATTTTTATTTAAAGTAGTTTCATACGATTTAACAATAAATCTGAATAAATAAGTATGAAATATAGTGCGAAAAGATAACAAGGATTTCAAGAGTTATAGAAATGCCGAACTGATCAGTAGGGGGTGAATTATACATAAGACTTAGTGTAAATACTCGATTAGAATAAATTCATTTTTAATTTGTTGTTATTTATAATAGGCATGATACAATAATTACAGGACAAACACTTCATCATACCTAGTAAATTTATCATAACTTTTTTATAATTAAGAATAAATGTAATGGTAAGTTAAATATTATCCACTGATTTAATTTATAAATCCAGACAATTCGTGAGATCATGGATGCGTACTACTGTACACTCACATATTAAAATGAAATAGTTATCCACTACTCACTAGATGGTTAACGGAACATTTTAAGGGCGTAGATTATAAACCCTTTCACATAGTCTAGTCAGTACTTGATAGTTGAGCTAGTTGATGAAAAGAATGATTTCATGTTAAGATAACTAAATTGTTAGTCTCATTGATTAATAGTAAAATCGAAAATTGACTACGTTCAGAAATACTTGGAACATTATAAATATATTGCTTTACATTTTACAATATTTGTTATTCAATTTTATCTTTGTATAATTAACGCAATAATGTCATGAATTTAATGTGGTAAGATTTTCAAGGAACATACGAATTATAACTAAGCTTTAATGAACTGCTGTCCAACAGAGTTGGCTGAGGAATAACGTGAACTATGTTACACAATCATAAAATAGACATTCAAGATTCATGATAACAGTGTTTATAACAATGACTGATTTATTATCTGGTTAGATTACTTCACTATTATATTTTGAATGAAAATGAAGTTAAAAATAGCACTATGTAGTCGTATTGAAATATCCGTCACGTTCCCAAATCTTTCTTAATATCTTGAATGTTCTAAGTGACTTCTAATCAATGTGTGACATTTCATTCTAGCAACGGGTGCAATAATCTATAACTGAATATACTTTATTAATCAGTTTGGTGTTATGAGCTAGAAAAGAATTTCATTTATTTGAAAGTGATTTTCATGATATTTCGACATTATCTTAAGAATCATTAAGAGTTAAACAACATTGGAGAGATGCTTAATTCATGCCTGATACTCGTCAAAGAACACAAAGACTACATACATTTATGTATCATGGTAAGCACAATGCTTTTAGGTAACTGGTTTGGAATACAAAGGTACTTACTCAAAGCACCGGTTATTGAAACAGATAATTGTTAACCAATATGAAACTTATGAAACGTATGCCTTTATACGGGATTGCTTATCATCATCTGTAAGTTTCTAGCAATAAAATTGTGGCGTATATGATAAATCACTTCAAGAATCTCAATTCAGATCACGTTTGTTAACCAATTCATTTTTTTCTGTGGATGTTATGAGAATAGCTTGTTTAAATGTCTATATATGATCACAGACAATAGAACTTCCAAAGTTAGTTAACATAAAAACACGTAAAGATTCTTTTTTGTTTTATTTGAAGACTGACAATTTTGGCACCAGCTATTTGACTTTATTAATTACTGGACAGTTGTACGAGAGGAAAATTACGATGAAATGATATAGATATTTTTTTAGAATGGTTTATGTTTTATTTACAGATTAAGGAACATATGGATTTGATGAATTAAAAATCCAGTCACAATATATTGTATTTACCTATCATTCTTCTCCATTTCACAATTACTCATATTCAATAATTTTTCTTTTCTTTTCAACCACGTGTAGTTTATTTAAGTTACAGACAACATATTGAAAACGTGATGATCGTCTACTTTGACTATTTTGGTTGGCAAAAATAGTGTACAAATCTTAATGTTCAATTTATTCATTTTGGCAGAAAGAATAAAAATAATCTGGGATAAATTTAGAAATATTTTTTTTTTAAATATGTGTCAACTTTTTACATATGTATGAAGGTACTATTGTTATCAACATGTTTTACAGTAAAACAGTGACGATTTCCATAGAACAATTTCACGATTTTGTATCGTCAAATTATTTCCTGAAAAAATGTTTATTTAAACATTGTAATAATGTTGTACTTGCAACTACATATAATAAAACTGTATGAAAATTGAATGTACTAGTTTAAATGTGAATATGTAGCGAAGCGTAATTTTGTGAGTGAGATTCAATATGGTTTTGATCATGTATCATTCTTATTCACGTATAAATTTAATATAACATGATATAAAGGCATCATCAGTATAAAAGTGTAATGAAGAAACATTTAAGTGAGATGAAACGAGAACATACCATGTCCAAATGTTAGTGAATTTTTACAGATTTTGTACCAAAATAGTTGCAGAAACAAATACAATC